TGGTTAAGCCGTTAGCGCAAAGCTGTGCAGCTGGGGCTATCAATAGGAGGCCTGACACTTCCCTGTTCCTGAACCACTGTGGCTTTCTGCTTCTTTACAACAAGGGCTACTGGTAAGCATCCTGGGTTTCCTGCTGTAGTTGATTTTCATGAGGACATGGATGCCATACCTGGGAACCTTCACTACCACCTTGAATAGGAGAAGCCTATCAGATTGTCATTTCCACCTTACAGGTCACAGACCCTAGGCAAACTGATCTGTAGTCTGGAGACCAACTGTATTTCCTCTGTGCCCACCCCATTCCACTCCAGAAAACAACCGCTCATTGAAATTAAAATGGTGACAAGCCTTCCCCAGACTTAATGCAATCAACACATGGGAAGGCAAAGAAAAATTCCATGTCTGCTTTTAATAAAATATACTTTTCTCATCAAAATATTTTGATAGCACAGGAAAAGAGATGTGTGCTCATTAAATTTTAATGAATGTCTATCCCTGCCATTTTCCATATGAGGATCACACACCATGACTCATGCATGGTAGGTGCTAGGAATAGTTAATTGGGAACAAATTTAATCCAAACACAATCTCCATTGACATAGGAATGAATGGAAGCCAAGATGAAGGCCATTAGGATGTATGAACATGTAGCCACAGGCCTAGGTTTTTGGCTGACATGACTTGGATTCAGAAAGGTGGCCCAATATTGTTTTAGTTCAACCTATATGTGCTTGAAAAAAAACGTAGTTAGATAAGAAGGGCTGGATTCTACCTTCCAGGCAACTTTAGTTCCCAGACTGAGCTGGAGATTCCAGAAGACAAAACTTTGGGCAAAGATTTTGAAAAGAAAGAAAGGAAAACACTTGAAAGAGCAGAATTGATGACCGTCACAGAAGCCTCTTTGTCCACAGAGTCAATTACAAAGCTCCCATCCACAAATGTTAGACTCACCTCAAAGTAGCCCTAAGCTATCTTTCTGGGGTTATCACTCACTCATGCCCAGCTACCAACCTCTGCTCCCACTGAGATGGACTTCCTGGTGCTCCCTACACCTGCTGTCTACTTTGCCTGCCCTTGCAACATCTGGCATAGTCTCTCCATCAGTATTTACTGGCTAAATGTTTTCTATTCATTGAGGATCATTTCTCCTTCAGTATCCTTAATTCTTGATGCCCGGCTCCATTTGAGCTCATATGATCTCTCCACCCTTACAACACTCAAGCCCTTTTGTTACTGGTCACTATGGAGGACCAGCTGGATGACCCTCCTTGGAAGAAGAGCCGTTATCTCCATTTTGGCTAAACTTGGCCCTATTCCCGTGTATTGAAATGTATAGAACTGGCTAGGACTTTTCCTTATCCTTTCAATTGGCTTTAAGCAATGCATATTGGTCCAGCTGAGGTGCTGGTGTGTACTCTTTGAAGCAAGGTGACAGGTCAGTGTTTCCCCAGCCCCATAGCTCCCCAAAAACATGTATGGTGGGTGGGATGGAGAGCCATGCTCCATGCTGTCATTTGGGATTAAGCCTCGAGATAAGTGGCTATGACTTCCCAGAGCATAAAGATTAGACATCAGACCTGAGGCATTGACCCCAAAACATTAGATGCTACCTCAGTTGTGTTGTGCAGATTGCCCCTTCTGCACATCCTTCTCTCTGCATACTGTAGAGGTGATTTCAGACCTCCTACCTAGCCCAGTTCACAGCACTCATCTACCTCTCACCGTTCTCACAGTCACTCATCTGCAAGCCACTCCCTTCCTCACAAATTAATAAAACCTGGATTTGGCCCTGGGTTGAGGCCTTCATTCTGGTTAGCTGTCATTGTAGTTGGGCTTAGGACCCCCTTGGCTCCCCATAACTACAAACATGCCTTACTGTCTTTATTCTCACCATGGGTTGCACTGGAATGGTAGTTTGGAATGAACTCTTTAGAGTTCCAATAAATTTTCCATGGGATTACAAATGTAAACTTCCCAGACCAAGAAGAGGACCCGGAAGGGCTCTCTAAGTCACGAACTCTGCTTTCCATAAGAGCTCCAGTGTGACAGTAGTGTAGCCTCATGGTTACATGCACATTCTTCTGAGTCAGAATGACCTCTTTTGGAAGCTTCTCTCCTTCCTTATGAGGTGCATGATAGTGGGCCAGTCCCTTATGAAGAGAAGTAATTGCATAATAATATTAGCCAACATACGTTAGTATTTACTGTGACTCAGGTGTTAGACATCTGTAGGCTCATTTAATGCCACAAGAACTCTATAAAGTGAGTATTTCCATCTCCTGGGTCATCCAGGTGGGAGAACAGGAAAGTCCAATAATTTGGCCAGGGCTCCACAGGTATTATATGGAGAATGCAGGCTTTGTATTTACACAGTTAGGGTCCAGAGCCCATGTTTTGACCACTATACCACACAGCACTACATTTTCTGGGTCTCTGTAAGAGAAAGGTCACCTCACAAGATGGTAATGAGTTTTAAATAAGATCATAGAAGAGAGGTGCTCAGTACCATGCTTAATGAATCATAGTTGCATCATTGTGATCACTGCGTGCTGGCCTCTACCCTTCTCCTGCCTCTAAGCTGAAGATGGAAGGTCATACCCTCTTAACTTGTTCTTTTCACATGGCTTCACCCTGTGCCTGGCTCATTCATCCAAAGCAGCCTTGAGAGGCTCATTCAGCTGGGAGCCCATCCCAGGTCAGAGGTTAAGAAAGCATTCTAGCATTTTCCTAGAGTTTGGGCACATGTGTTCTAGATAACTGAGCACTTCTGAGCCATTGTGGGTTTTGGATTTTCAGCATATTAACCCCCCACACTCCTGTTTTATAGCATGTATCTGACTGTTTTCCCACAGGTCTCCTGGGTAACATTTCAACTTGATGTTTTCCTGAGAGTTCTCTCCTCCTCCCCTTTCACCTCCACAGCTCCCCTTCTTTTCCCATCCCTTGCTTTTCTCAGGTCTTCTCCTCCCTCAGTCACTGTAGGATGAGGACCACTGTCTGCAGACCACAGTTCACCACTTGAGATCCCCAGTAGGTTACACAGTATCACAGGCCTCCAGTCTCTCGGCCAGAGTGTCCTGAACTAGGGTCTCTAACAGCTCAGTGACACCTGCACAGTTTTTAGGGTGTGAGGTGTTTTCCCTAGGAACACTTGTCCCCTCTTTGGATTTAGTTTATACATGGGGTTAGTGAGGTTAATGTTAAGATTTATATGATGACGCCTATGCCCGCTTCCCTCAATAAACCCAGTACAGGACAAAGTCCAGAATTTCCTTCTGTCCCAGGCTTCAGTTTTTGTGAAATGGCCTTGCTTCTCAATAAGCTCCTCCATGATCTGCATCCCTGATTCCTTCAAGGAAACCAAACCAAACCAAACCAAATCAAACCGAGCCAGGCGAAGCGAAGCCAAGCCAAGCCAATGTTCTATTTATGGCACGTCCTCCCTGCCCAGGTCCACTAACTTGTAGGGCAATGCATTTCTGATTCTGCCCCTGGGGAATTCAACTGCTCTTCAAGTAAATCTAGAAGATAACATACAAATAATCCTTTAAATTGATAATGCCTAACAGATCAAAGCTATCTGTTTCCTTCATATCCCAGTTTATTATCAGTGGTGTAGTTAAACTCTAGTGCGTGCTGTGGCTGGGGCACATGGAAGCTTGGAAAGTTTCTCCTGAGACCTTTGCAGGGACATGCCTGTGCTCTGTAATGAGACGAGCATTCAGGCCTGGTTCCCGCAGGGACAGGTGCAGGGGTACACACATGCACAGGCCCTGTGCAACTTCCGCATGTGAGCAGACAAGCATGCCTCCTCCTTGCAGCTGGGAGAGGGTTGCAGGGCTTGGCCCACATCTTCAGGAAGAGCCAGCTATGAGGATGGTCCTGCCATGCAAGGGTGGGGGTGAGGGGACCGCCTGCCCTGCTATGGCCCCTGGGCCTCATGCTGTTGAATTCATGTCCTCACAGCACAGTGACAATCTGACCCAATCCCCAGATATTCTTCTCTGTTCACATTTCTTCCTGAGACTTCCTGCAACCTGTGCATCCTCCTTTTTATCCTGGCTCTTAAAACCTTTTATGCACGATGGACCTATGTGTGCTGACTCGGGTGAAGGAACCAAGGAGATGTGATGACTCAGCTTTCTAGACATGATTCCTGGTTTCTATTTCTCAGGGTGGTGGCTGGCAGTGTGTGCACCAGAAGCTACAACTGTGCCCTGGGAAGTCAGAGAAACAGGTTTCCATGTCTTCTTCCATTCTACCCTCAGCCCTGTCTACTGAGTTCTTTGCGCTATGTGAGTAGAAACTTCTGGTGGTACTGCAAAGACACCATTATAAGTTTTGACCAAGTGGAAAAAACAAACTCTATGGTGACAGAAGTCAGAAAAGTGGCTATTATGGTGATGGAGGGGGAGTGTTTTACAGGAAAAAGCACGATGAAACTTTCCAGGGTGTTGGAAAGCCTCTATCTCTTCATGGAGCTGGTGAATGCAAGGCACATGTTAAAAGTCATTGTTGTCAAGCTGTATCCTTCAATTTGTGCATCCTGCTGTATGCAAGGATGCCCCCATGAACAGCATCACTGTCCAAAATGCAGGTGGAGATGCTGCAGGCAGCTCACATGTCATCTGGCTGCCTGACCCACTTTCCCCTGGAGACAGTGAAAGTTCTAAGTCTCTGTATCCATTACACATCTTTATCTTCCTCCACAAGTGTGTTTATATCCACAGGTTTTATTTATATCTGCAGTCACATCTATATATTTAAATCTGGAGAGAAGAGGAGTGTTATATGTGCGTGACTAAATATAGGGTGATTTACTTCTTTCAAAGAACAGGAGGATCTCAGCTCCTTTATGTTTCTGGAGCAGGACACACACACACACACACACACACACACACACACAGACACATGTGCGCGCATGCGCTAAACCTGGGTTCTCAATCAGCAACTTCAACTCCCCCCTACCCCCGTGCCTGAGATGAGATGATAAAACTGACCTTGATGATGACTTTGGGGATGATGAGCATGGTGGACTTCTGCTTAGCCAGGACATCCCTGGACTCACTGATGCGAGCTGTGACGAAGAAGTGCAAGAAGGCCTGCTCCAGCAGCTGGCCCATGTACTCACCCGCTCTGACCATCACCTCCTTTTGCTTGACTGGCAGGAGCAAAAACAAACACGCTGGCATCAAGATTTGAGGCAAGATCTGCTTTACTTTTCTCCCAGTTCCCCATCCTTCCCCTGTGAGCCCATAAGTCTAGACTTTCTCTCCAGATTTTTCTGTATCAATCTGATGCCATGATTTTTCTGTTTAAAGGAAACAAACTGTTGAAATCAGTGTCTGTTCAACTAGCCCCATCCTATTTGTCATTTAGAAGACCTCTGTTCCAAGTGCTTGCCTCCTCAAGTCACTGTTGCTATTTGTTAAGTACTGGCGACAGGCCATGAAGGATGGCATCTGCAGGATGGACAAGGGTCCTGGCTCCCTCCCAATCCTTGTCCAGGCTGAGGATGATGAATTCTATCTTGTGGCTCTGGCATCCTTTCTCTATCACTCTCATTTTCCAAGCCTGGGACTCTAGAGAGCAAAGGGCAGGCAGTTCTTCTGTAGGCTGAGCCGAGGTGTGGCACCAGCCCTACCTCATCAGAACCAGGTGTTTGTGCTGTACCATCAGCCAGGAGCACAGCAGGTGGATGGATGATTCATGCCTCAGTCCCCACCTACAGGACACAGACTCCATCAACGTCCTCCAGACTGGACATCTCCACCACCCTTCTGCTCCGTGTCTGGCATTTGCCAGATTCTTCCTTCCTAGAGAACTTGTTGAAGGAGCAGCTGTTGAAGGTCCCATGGCTAGTAGTTTAAGTGCAGAGGGCAGCTCATTTTAGCCCACCATACTGAGCTGCAGTCACATAGGAGGATAGAAAGCTGCCTGTTGGGTTGAGGAAGCACTTGGCCATGCTCATCATCCCTAGGTGGGGCTCACATCTGGACTGGATCTGCAGACCAGCAGCACCTTTGTGGGAACTGGTTAGAGATGCAGGTTCTCTCACCTCATTGCACCTCTGAATCAGGATCTACATTTCAATCAGATCTCGGGTGATGCCTACTTAAGTAGAGAATCTCTTAAGAGTGTGAGAATCTCTGAGAGACAGGAGGCTCAGCAAAAAGTGGTTAGACTTGGGATGGCCCTAACTTCCACATCCCAAGAACTTCATTAAATCTTGGCCAACTGGAAAGACTGGCCATTCTAGGTAGGCAGTTGTTAACAGAAGTGGGTTTCCTGTACTGGGGATACTTGACAATGTCTAGGGACCTTTCTGCTTTTTGTTATTGGGTTTGGGAGTAGCTTGTTACTGGTACCTCATGGATAGAGGCCAAGGATGCTGCTAAACATCCTGCAATGCATAGGATGGCATCACAACAAAGAAGTGTCCATCCCCAGATGCCACCATGCCAAAGCTGGGAAACCTTGCCCTTGACCAGTGATGGTAAACCATTTAGAGACTGAGGACCAAACTACAACTCCAAACTCACTTTTTAAAATCACAGAGTGCCAACACAGCAATTAAACTTGAACACTGAGGTTTTAGTTTAGGAAAAACAACTCTACATTAACATCTTTTATCTTAAAAGAAAACACAATAACATGTGCCATACATTTGCTAGCAGTGCCTTAGACCATGCCTATTATTTGAATGTATTTGTCTATCCAAGACAAGTACGGAACAACTGGCTTGCTTGGCTTGACTCTGGGACAGTACTGCTCCATTTAGAGCCCATTTGTAGAAGCCGTCACCATGCCCTGAGCTTGGCTCCTGAATTCTACCTTGGCCCCTCCTGTTGCTGTCATTGGACCTGACCCTGGACCTTGCCTCCTCCATGGCTCTCCTGGCAATGAACTGTCCAGATGAGCGAGATGCCAGTTTTCCTGGATTAGATACCACCTCCAAGGAGCATACATGGCCTGTTTATCACAGCCCAGATCTGGACCAACACAGCCTTAACGAACATGCATGTTGCCCCTACCTGCCTCCAATAATAGTAATGAAAATGGACTTCCTCTGACTACTTCTAGAGGACTGTGTTTGACCTCTAGGTTTCTTCAGGCTAGTGGGATATGCCTGCCTTTCTTCTACCTATCGTCCAGAGGCTCTTGCTACCCTCATAGTCTCAGCATCAGGACGCCTTTCTTTTCGGAGGTAGAATATTCCCTAAATCACAGCAGTAAAGAAACTGGGCTGTGTCTCTGAGCCCCAGAGAACAGAGCTCCTGAAATAGTCCGTTATGTAAGAGCTGTGTTTTGCCACTGCACAAGAAATTGTTCTAGATAAAGTTTATTAAACGTGGCAAGAGAAGGAGGAATAGATTTTCACTCTATGAGCGGCAGCCCTGGGATGCTGCCAATATCATTTACAGTGTCTGGGGAAATCCAAGGGAGACACAGACTGGAGCTGCCTCATCGCTTTTCCAAAAAGCAAAGAAAACTAAATATAGCCAAGTGGCAATGATAGCACCTTTGAAGGTATTGGGAGGTTTAAGTTATTCAAATCTCCCAAACCGATTCTGGCCCACACGTTCCCTTTAATCATCATTCTGGAAAGTCTGTCTTCCATTCTACTTGGAAAACTTTCTTTGCCACAGAGGATGGCGTGACCAAGGTCTAGAACTGTGTGGCTTTTTGTGATATTCCACAGTTTATTTTGGATTGCAGTCTGCAATTTATTGCATGTAATTAATGCCACCTACCTGCTGCGGAGTTAAAGAAGAAAGAGTTCCCAGTTCCCTTCAAGTAATTCAGGACAAGCCCTGGGGTGGTTGAGTGGGCGGGAAGTACGTTACTGTTGACTCAGGCTCGTGTTTGGTCAGCTGCCCCTACATCAGTGACTAAGAGGATAATATAGTATGTGAGCCCACTAGCTGCTGTGAGCTCATTCTTTAATTGGGTTAGAGAGAGAAGGAGGAGACTGACATAAGGGCACTGTTGAGGTAGGAAAACGGCTAGTGTTTAGTTCACTGTCTCGAGATCTGTGCTGGACAACAGGTCATGGAGCCATGAGCAAGAGAACCAAGCCACTTGGGGCCAGAGTTTATACCTAACTGGCTCACTGTCACTGCCTGAATGGGACCTGAGCTCTGTCATCTGCTTTGCTACTAATTTCTGTGTATGGCCTTGACTACAAGAACTCCTCTCTAGCCTCAGCTTCCCCAAATGCTGCAAGTCACCATGTGCAAAGCCTTTCACGTGTGTTCTCTCATTTCATTTCTTTCATGCTATCTTCTTCTCACACATATCCAAGCCATCAGCCCTTCACGTGGGCTCTACCCTGAGAACAGCCCTACATCTGCCTCATCCTCATGACTCCCACCGCACATCACTACCCCTCTGCTGATGATGCATTAGCACCCTAACTGGTCCCCAGGCTGCAGCCTCACTTCTTCCACAGTGCCTTGTCAATGCAGGGGTCAAAGTGAGCTTTCAAAGCCCAAGTTAGGCCATGCCCAGATGCTTGGTGGCTTCTCAGCTCACTGGAAAACAAAAGCCAAAGTTCCTACAAGGCAGAAAGTTCTTTACATGATCTGCACCCACCCACGTCTCCCTTTTCTCACTTTTGCTTCCGTTTTAGCCTGTCTTCTATTATTATAACAGATGAGTACCAAGGAGGGTACTTTATAAAGAAAGGAGGTTATTTGGCTCACAGTTCTGGTGGCTGAAGGGTCCAAGCAGCATGGTGCTGGCAGCCTGGCTGTATTATATCGTGCTGGAGAAAAATGGGCATCTCGCCTTGTGCAGAGCAGGTGAGCTCATGGAGCATCCTTGCTTCATAACAACCACTCTCCCAGGAACTCATTCACTCCGTGAGAACAGTATCAATCTCTTCAGAGGGCAATGTTCCCATGGTTTAATTATTTTCCACTGTGCTCCAACTCTTAAAGGTTTCATCACCTCCCAATATTTGCACCCCACAGATCATGCTTCCAGGCCACATCCCAACTACAGCAGCTCCCATTCTAGTCTTTTCTGCTCATTGAACATATCAGACACACTCTGGCCCCAGGGCCTTTGCACACATACCTTCTTATGGTTGCAACACTCATTCTAACCTTTTGTCAGCTCTCTGTTCAGTGTCATCTTACTAGTCAGGATCACTTTGGCCACTCCACTCTAGGAACAGCACTCCTGCCCCTCTTAGCCTGCTTTATATTTCCCTATTACATATATAATCACACTGTGTGTTCACTTGTTTAATTGCTTATTGTCTGTTTTCTCTGCAAGACCAGAAACTCCCTAAGAGTGGGCACTGCTATGCCTCCAGTGCAAAACAGAACCTATCGATGCATGCACTAAATCCATGCTCAGGGGCTGGGGATTTAGCTCAGCGGCAAAAGTGCCTGCCTGGCAAGCGCAAGGTCGTGAGTTCGGTTCCCGGTACCGGAGAAAAACCAAAAAAAA